CCATCAATCAGCTTGGAAAGAATTCATACCAATACAATGTCTATGAAATTGTAATGATGACAACAAAGCCTTAACCATGATGGAAGAGAAGTGATTTGATTAGGTAGTGTAAGTAACGCAGCAAGTGGCCTTTCCTTACCTTATCAAGGAAGCTTGGTGTTTGGCTATAAATTCCCGATATCAAGGAATGCAGCAAGTGGCCTCTCTATATGTTTATTCAATTCTCTCTTCCTTTTACTGCTTGTATATATATTCTATTATATTTATTTATAATAGAAATGATCTTTTAGTAGTACATTTCACAATCACACGTAAAGATATTAAGATCTGTAGCCCAAGAATGGGCCCAAAAACCTAGCCGAATCCACTATGAGAAAGATTCTCTTGGGCTGAGGCCCTAAAGTAATATGCAATAAGGATTTTGGAATACCGCAAATGAAATTAACCTCAGTACCACTAAATGAACTCAATGGGTAATCCTAATAAATTATTGTAAAATAAATAAATAACTATTAAAAAAATAATAAAACAAATAAATTAGTAATTAAATAAATAACAAAGCCAATTAGGGTTTAAGTGCATTGTGACATGCAATTGAAAGGTGCACCAAAAATGACCATGTAGTTGTTGTAGCTGGTTTGACCCAAAAGTTAAAGAAATCTATCTCATGTGTGGAAAGGATGGGGCAACCTCGGATTCTAGAAAAGTTGGCTATGCTGGTGTATAGTAAAATTTGTTAATCAAAGTAAAGTCTACGCTAATTGCCACACACACACACACACATACATACATAAAATAATATATACAGTTATATATACTTGCATCATTGGTACGGCAAAGTAACGCCTCCAACTTTAGTAGAAAGACATTGATCCATATGCAGCTTCTTTAAATATTAAAGTGCCATTCAATCTAGTACTGCATCAATCCTCATTCCAAGAATCATCTCTCTTTCTCTGCACGTGTGAAACCATGCACGAATACACAATGATTTTAGTTTAAATGATAATGATAAATATATAATAATAGTAATAATACATCTATATATTGAGCTTTGATTGTCTCATTTTCCATTAGAATCTCTAGGGTGAATTTGAGTCGCATAAAATGTGAGTAATAATTCTAGCCAACCCATACATCATTCAACAGTATCTGGAGGGAATGATGAACAAGAACACAGGTTCAGTACAAATTTCTTAATATACCCTTTCTTTTTTTCTTTTTTTTCCCTCTTCTTTACTTTTAGTATTTTGTAAATAATACCCATTTTCTTTCAGCCAAAAAAATGAGCTGATTGTTCTTTTCACCAAATTTGAGTTACAATGGTATTAATTACGGATTAGTACTACGCTAACTAAGGATTTTAACAGAAATTTTTAGCCGAACAGTACTTATTGACCGAATACAAGGAAATATGGATCTCACTTTGTTATACTTTGTATATCCCACCAATCAACAATTTTTTATTAGTATTTAAGTTAAAAACCTCGACTTTAAAAATATTTTCCTTAAAAACTGATTTCTAACTAGTGATATGATCAAAAAAAATATATAATATTTGATCATTGTTGGATGTAGTTAACTATCTCATATACACACACATTTATCACCAGAAAGACTTTAGTGTGATATTATATTGGCAGTATTAACCAAGTATATCTCGTCACTACGTGTTCATATTTAATATGAAATATTATGTCATAGATATTTCATGAATATTAAATATTTTTCTTCACGGACGTATATATACATGCTTCATGTCATGACCATGTTCAAAACAGAATCCCATGATTAAGTCTTAATTAATTTGTTAATGCATGTAATCATGACCATGCCCAGCAAAGAAGGGTCGACTGTAATGTGAAAGGGTTTTCTAAGGGGAAAGAGATTAATATATGATTAAGGGGAGGGAATTCTAATAATTAAATGCAACTTTTCATTTCTAGAATTATATATTCACAAAAATATCCAATAAATTATATACCCAAAGATCTAGCCATTTCTTTATTTTATCTCATCATGTGTCTTGGGAGCATTGATTTTCTATTTAGATACCAGTAATGATACATCATTTTGATACAAAGATGCTGAATAGAGAATATATAGGTGAAGGTGTGGGATATCGCACGCCGGCGGGGGGGTGGGGGCTTACACTCTCCCTCACATTTCATACCATCAGCATCTCCGAATTTGAAAGATATATTATTTTTTATTAATTTAGACGTGAAGAGGATGAGGTGCCCCTCCCTCACATGACATCCTGTCAGCATCCTTCAAATTTAAAAGATGTATTATTTTTTATTCAGATGTGAAGAGGACGAGGTGCCACAAAGAACACTACTTAATTCATCTTGAAGGTTTATTTTATGCATGCCTTTAATAATGTATAGCGCGCGCACACACACACATATATATATGATGGGTAATGATCGCTAGTTTACTCAAATTCATCCGTACCATGCATAATGACCATTTGACGTAATAGTTTAAAAAAAATAAAAATAAAAACCCACAGCAATCACATCCAACTCTCATCTATGCATGGCGTGGTGGAATTTTTTGATCGCCAATGAATAAGAGATTATTTATATATATATATGTATGTATATATAGATATGAATAACACTGTCTAAAATAAAACCTCCTTTTTACCCGTGTTATGGTATCATTAGATCACGTGTCTTTTTATAATATTATTATAAAAATATAAAAGAAAGAAAAATAATCTACTTTTGGATTGGTCAAATTATACCAAATCTGATTTATCAGAAATATATATATATATATATATATATATATATATATATATATATAATAATATTTATCCATGTACGTGGTTTAGTGATATTTCATTTTCTTTCACTTTGAAAGAGAAAGTTAGAATTCGAAGACAAAGTAAATAAATAAATAAATAAATAATATCATCCATATCATACCATGATACATCAATGGCATAGTGTCAAAACTCAAAAGTTTTAAGTATGGTTCTATATATATTGTGTTTAAGTCCGTGTCCCAGCTCATTTTCATAGGTGATGAATTTTCAAACTTAATAGTCAAGCCACATAAAAGATGTATTGAAAGAAGTATCTAATAGGATCCACTTTACGATATTTGAGGGTATCAATTTATTACGCGTTCGACCTGAGTATCATTACTCCATCCAAAATAAAGTAGGTGATAGCCAAATGTACTATTATACTTGAGAATGAATTAATTATCTTTTAATGGGTATTTGAAATCTTGTTTAAGACTTTTAAATAAGTTTTTCCCCTTGTGAGTGTAGTAGGTAACTTTAAAAAGAGAGGGTATGTAAGTCATTTTAGCTCGTAACAAAATCTCACAAAATAATGGTTTCAACTAACTTTACAAGATTAAAAAAAGCTCAATATACAGACTGATGATGTATATCATCTTGAAAGTTTGTCGTCAATCCAAGGAGGTTATTAATGTAGATGTACCAAATCATAAGGAGGCAAAAGAAAAGGATTGTATGTTGTACTGTAATGCCACTCAAATGATAAAAAAGGGGTAAATGTGATTGATAAATAGTCACACATTCACAAATGTTCGTTATAGACTTGATCTTCTCATTTCTCATTTCCTTTTTTTTAAGTCGGTGGATTAATCAGTACTTTAAAACGCGTTTTGTAATTATGGACGTTACAAATAATAATAATAGAAAAAAAAACAAAAGAAAAAAATTGTAAAACGGAATGAAACACAAGAAGATATATCTATCCCATCCACACAAGGATTGTCCAATTCAATTATTACACTACATTAAATGAAATGGTAAAGTATACCAAAAAAAAAAAAAAAATGATGATAAATTTTCTTGAGATTCTCTAATGTGACAATGATCACAAACCCGCACGAGCCTCTCCATTGGATTCCCTAATTGATGCTGGCTCAGCCCAGACATACAGACACCCACAATCTGACACCATGATCTCACCTTACAATATTAAAAACACCACCTACAGTCTTTTTCATTTTCCTTTAACAAAAGGTTGTATAACTCTCATTTTGAGCCATTCTTTTCACTGCTTCCAATCAAAAAGTTGTCTGCCTAGTACTGTCATAAATTCAAAAGAATCAAATTAACTGTAAATAGTAACAAACCACACAGAGGAATGGATTAAAATCCTGTCATATGCTACAATATATTTGTTTCAGTCGGTAAGAAAAATTAATGATATGGATTAAAATTCTCTCATATGTTATAATGTACTTGTGTTAGACGGTAAGAAGAATTAGTGATATACGTTACAAATATTATGACGATTGATTTTAATCTCAACATTTTCCTAAAGTATATATCTCAACATTTTCTTTACTGACTGGATTTGATCCTTGGGGGGATATCCTCACCTTAAAATCACATATTCACACCAATTCTAAAAGTGGAATATGGGAAATACCTTTTCTGGAATTGTTTTTCTATAGCATAAAGATGTGTGAAGAAGAGATTTATCCCCTCAGGATCAAAATCCTCAAACTGCATGCGATACAATGTATATGTCTCAGTTTGTGAAGAAAATATTATGATATATATTTTACAAAATATTGTGATGTTTGGTCTTGTATCTCAATATTGAAGAGAATTAGTGATGCACATTACAAACATATTATGACGTTTGACATTATATCTAAATATTTTCTTAATATGCATCCTAATATTTTGTTCACCGACTCAGATAAATATACTATTATAATGCAGGAGGGGATTTTGATCCTTGGATACCCTCACCTTAAAATTACATATTCACAACAATTCTAAAAGTGGAATTGGGATACACTTACCTTAAAATCACATATTCACACCAATTCTAAAAGTGGAATATGGGGAAGACCTTTTGTGGAAGTGTTTTCTAGAGCATAAAGATGTGTGAAGAAGAGATTTATGCTTCTTCACATAGAGTGGCTAGGTGGGGACACAGAGACCTGAATGTGCCTCTCTTATTAATAATATGTCCAGAAAATTATTGGACACAGTACTATATCATCAGTGGTATTGGAATATACCCACATAGAAAATCACCCATTTGTTGGATTGGACAGCTTGGATGTACCTTGGTGCAAGATGGTAAAATTTAATTTCACAAATTAATATGCAATCACTTAGAAGTTTGAACATAGGAAGAAAAAAAACAGAGAGGAAAAAAAGAAGCATAAGAAGAAGAAGACATGTATGCATACAAAAAGAAGTCTATTCTTTTACTTTCTGATCAGGTTGACTTAACAAGCAAAAACTAGTAATTTCAAGCTAAAATTACACACATACAAAACCTCAAAAACACCCATAATATATATTGCACTCTTCAAACCCCAGAAGTCAGCAAAACACAAAAGAAATTAAAAAAAAAATAAAAATAAAATAAAGAAATAAAAAGCTTGGACAAGCCCAGCTAAAACTTAGCTTATTAGTATACCCTACACACTAGAAACCTAGCACATGAAAAAGAAAGCTAACTGCTGCTAATATTATCACTCAGAACCTCAAATGCTCACTCACTACTATATATATCTCAGTTGTCAAATGGAAGAAGGACAATCCATAAGATCAAAGCTAAAAAAAAACTGAAATGATGATATTCTTACTCTATGAACACACAAATTGATCAATTGGACACGTCGCGAAGCGCGAAGAAAAAGAAGAGCTCTATATCTGGAGGAGCAAAGAAAGCTATGGGGGTTCTTTGGAGTGAGCAATTGGACACTATTCTTCGCTTCTTTGGTGCCGGTGGGCATGTTAGGATCTCCGGTATCCGAAATCTCTGAGCTTTAGGGGTGGAGCAGCCACTGGTAGGTATGTCAACACCATGATCAAAATCTATGTCATTGACCTTCAACAAGTCATGATGATCAGAGTTCTTGGTTATGGACTTAGAAGTTGGCAAATCCACTGAATTAGAAGCTGCTTCTTTTTTCGATTGATCGAGCCTCTTCTTGTAATGGATTCTTCTTGATTTTCTTGTACTACTTCTTGCTCTTCTTCTACCAGAAGGAGCCATTTGAGAAAGCACTTCTGCTAAAGCTAATTTATAAGCTGATGGAAGTTTGAAACTGAATGAATGGAAGCCCTAGTAAAACCTTGACTGAACCACCAAACACTACTTTTATGGAAGTTCTAGATTTGACTGAAAAGTGATGGACAATTTAACCTCTTTGGACACAAAACAAACCTTTTCAAGCACAAGAAGTGCTTCTGTTGAAAACCCTAGACAGCAGAGACTGCCACTTTTGAGACTGAAATTTCTGATCAAGAAGAGATGAAAACACACAACTCTATAGATACCCAAATGAGATCGTGAATTGTTTTTGCTAAATTGCATATCAAACCCACAAAAGCACTACTGTGGCTTGAGCCTTTATCTGAAGTCTAACAGAAAACTTTTGATCATCACAAATAAGATAGATAGATAGGGACATGGCACAAAGCAAAATCTGACAAACCCACCAAATCCAAGAGGATCAAAGACACAAAACTATCATTTTCTCATGAAAAATCATAAGGGATCAATATACTAGGTAACTTACTAGAAAAAGCCCACTTTACTATTGGGGGACATGAAAGGCCCTATTCAAACCCTAAGAGAGAGAGAGAGAGAGAGAGAGGAGGAGGGGGGATTTCACACTTTTGTGCTGCCTAGGGTTTATAACGACAGGGAATGATTCGGGCAGACTACCCGCTGCCCCCTTGGGCGGTTTGATGATTAAGGACTTAAATTAAGCAAGTCCCAATATAAAAAGGGAGGTGAATTCAATTCAAATTTTGGTTTGACTCAAATGCAAATTTTATTTTTCTTTTAAAATACATCATGTAAAGGAGGGGACTACCACCCACTATATCATACCAAATCCCATATGATTAATTTGAATATAGAGAAAATCCAAGTACTTTTTCAGCAACTAAAACTAATAACTGAATTAAATTTCTACTGTAAAAATAAATAAATTACCTAAGAAAAACATAAGTGGATGTAATCCACTGAATCAATTGACTTGACATTTTTAGATTACATTAGCATATATTTTTTATTTTATTTTATTTTTTTTTTTTGAAATGTTAATTTCAAATATATATATATTTTGCAAGATTATTTTCAAATTTATATATTTTGATTTTTCTTTACAAAAAACTCACATAATTAAGTATATATTGCATATTTGCGGCCGCTAGCATTAAATGTCACAGTCTGCCAAAAAAACATCTCTTGATCTCATTAATAAATTTGAATATTTTTTGCATTACATTTAAAAATATGAGGTCAACCACTTGATCTAATTAATTTTTAATTTTATCTTTAAAAAAAAAATTAATTTTAATTTTTCAAAACCACAATGACTCACCTTATTGGTCACATTTATGAGACTTTTAAGATAAAATTGCCCTTTAATCTTTTCTTATCTCTTCCATTTTATTCACTTGATCTGTTTTATATTATATACATATACAAACACTCAAGCATGTGTGTGTGTGTATATATATATCAATAGAGTAACAATACTTGTACCGATCGTTTAGGCAGAATTGTTAGCCTACCATGCACTTCCTTATCTAATGCATTAATGACCAATTAGATATAATAAGCTTAACAATTCTACCTAAGTGATTGGTGAAAGTATTATTACCCATATCAATAACATTTGTCAAAAAAAAAAAAAAATTATTTTCTTTCTTTTTGAATTGCCAAAACAAGTAACATTATGGGAATGGATTATTTTATTTCTTTTTTTTTTCAATTATATTTTAACTATATATATGTACTATATATATATATATATGGATTCACAATTGAGTGAATGGTTTCATTAGTAAAAGATTTGTTTGATTAGCTATCAAAGAATATATGATAAATTCAGGAAAAAAAAAAAAAAGAATATATGATAACAAGTGATATAAATATATATATATATATAAAATGACATGAAAATAGTTATTTACACACACACACACATGCAAGTGAGGAGAAAAAAAAAAATAGAAAAAAAAATGCATATACATATTACATATTATATATATATATATACACATACACACATGTACATCGATTAAGTGAGGAGAGAAAGCTTTCAGGAGAAAGCTTTCAGGGGCATAACGGCATTGGCAGGGATTCAGGAGGTAAGACCCAAGATGATTGCCATCAATTGAGAGAGAAGAAATAGTTAAAGGGTAATTTTATTTAAAAATTTATATTTTTAATTTTTATAAAAACATTTCATAAATAAATGTGTAATTATAGAAATAGTGATCAAATATTTAGGATAATTCAAATACAGTTTGTTGTTTAGGAATCTAGGATAGAATAAGGGTAGGTCTGCCCTCTGCCCGCGAGGCAGTTAGTGTCAGATTTGAGGTCAGTTAATGGTTAATATTTTTTTACCCTATTACTCACTGTCAATTGTCAGCCCTAATTGAGGCCATTTCTCTGTCCTCACCTGGTCAGACATTTTTAAATTCATGCATGGTCTGATTTTCCCTTGGTTTATTGTTAATTTTACAGGACACCTTGGGGCTTTGGATACCCCCTATACTCGGATAATCTTAAAAGTCAGTTGTTTATAAATCTCCCACACGTGCACTTCTCTGAATTTCCTGAGCTATGTTACAAAAGTTTATTCAGATATATACATGTATTATATATATATACACACACACACTGTATTACTTTGTTTTGTGTGCTTGTTTGGATGAACTCAAAATCTAAGTTTCTACACATGCAAAGATGATCAGATTCTTATAACAATACACAAATTATTCTCACATAAATGAGTAAATTTACGTGGTTCATGTGTTCCAACTTTGGATCTGGTATCCCATGTATTTGTTGGGGCAGTAAAAATTTTACCCTATTCGAAACACTTACTACAAGAGTTGATATGCAGTACCAATCACCAAAAGTACTGAGATGCTCTTGAAGAGAGAGTAAACCAAAGGGAATAAAAAATTAACATGAAGTGTACGAATGATTAATATGTTAGAAATATTCTAGAAAAAAATGATAAATTTTATTAAATAATATTTAATATTGATTTTTATTATGAAAATTATTAAATTCTTATAGAAGGAGATCTCCAACATCTCTCAAGCGATTTTTTTTTTACTAGTTATATACATTATTATTATTATTATTATTATTATTATTATTATATATATTCTCTCTAATGATATTTTTCTTATACTATTCTTTTACGAGTTCAAGTGTAACATGACAAAGACCTGCATCTAGAGTTGTATCTTGAAGTCGTTTTATACAATCAGTTCTTACCACGTGAGGTATATATGTACAATGACTTTACGACCGCAATTAACATGCTAATTTAAGTGTTGAAATTGTATTTTTTTTTGTGTTAAGTGCAAAAAAACTCCTTGTAATATAAGTTTTGTGCACAAATAGTCCATTCTTTTTAAAAATGTGCAATTTATTCTACAATATTTAAAAAAAATGTGCAAATGAGTCCCTCTGACCACTTTTTGGTCAATTAACATAAAATAAATTTAAATATCCTAATTTGTCATTTTCTCTTCCTATTCAACTATTTTCTAGAGTTCTGCTTCTCTCCTATGCCCTTCACCACAACCAGTGGTGCATCACATGCATAACCACCTCTGGCTTGCCACCAAACCACCCCTTCTCTCGAACCTCGCTCCCACCACTCCTCCATCTCTCCTACGCCTCTCACCACAACCAGTGGTGGAAACTAAAATTAGGTTTGGTGGTCAGACAACTTCAAATGGTTTATTCTTTGACAAACTGAAATTAGGTTTGGTGGTCGGACAACTTTAAATGGTTTATTCTTTGACAATCGGTGATTCTGTGATGGGGGTTTCAGTTTCTAGAGGCGATAGTGGAGAATCTGATGCTGGTTCGGTGGATACAGGTTGTGGAGAGGAACCACCGACCAATTTCAATTTGATGAGTGATCGGGTGGTGAAAAGGAATGTGTTGTGGACCTCAAGAATTTGGAATTTGGAGACGAAAGAGATGGAGGGGTGGTGGGAGTGAGGTTCGAGAAGAAGGGCAGTTTGGTGGCAAGACAGAGGTGGTAGTCGATGGTTCGATGGAGGAGGCCGGTGAAGGTTTAACCAATCGTGGGGTTGAGTTTTGAGACGAGAGTAAGGGAGTGGTGGTGGGTGCCGGTGAAGAGTTCTTTGACGGGGACGGAGACGGAGCCGATTTTTCAGTGGGTGAGGATGTCGCGGTCGGAATGAAGTTTAAGGAGGAGGAAGAGGTTAGTGGGGCTGTCCAAGTTGACCTGGGCGACGAAGAATGTCGTGAGGTTGTGGGGTTAAGTTTTGAGATGAGAGAAAGAAAGAGGTGGTGGGCGCTGGACGGAGCCGATTTTTCGGTGGCCGAGGACGATACGGTCGGAGCGGAGTTTGAAGAGGATAAAGAGGTTAGTGGGGTTGGCCAAGTTGACCTGGGCGACGGAGAACGTCCTGAGGTGGTTCCAGAAGGGAGTGGTTCTGTCGTCTCTGTGGATATTGGTCACATATTTGGTTTTTCGGCCATCATGGCTTAGCAATCAATTCAGGTAATTTTTCGGTGGTAAGCTTCCCATTGTATCAGTCCTGCGATGAGTACAGAGAATAGTTCTGTCAAGCCTTGGGTGACCCATTTCAGGTGAGCTCCAAACGTACCGACGACCATCCTTGGATTGGTGGCGATGAGGGTGTCCCGCGTCTGCGACGGCCATTCTCTTTGATAACCATCCACTCCGCAACATCCATCCTCTTATTTTTTGTGGCTATGGTTTAGGCTCTGCTATAGACATGGTAAATCAAAGGAAATTGTCTAAAATGGTAATTTTACATTGCCTGATTTTTTTAATATTATTTCATTTTATTGACAATAAGGTATTAATGTTTTTTTATGTGAACAAGGGGGTAATTGCACCAAATTGATAGTATGGGGGGGTTTTATACCACACATGGACTTTTTTGCACTACATGAATAGCAGGGGGATTTTTTGCACTTAACCCTATTTTTTTCTCTGTTAAATTGACAACTCACACAATGTTACCCACTTCGGGCTTGAACTTGTCATTTCCCTTTTAAGAAAGAGAGGGTTACCAAATGGCACATTTATTGCAATTTTTCTTCTATTTTGGGAAGTGTGTAACTTCTTTGGAATCCATTCAAGTTGAGTATCCTATCTGTCACTAAGACTAGTCAAGTTCTCAATTGTTCCATCTAACTTACTAATCAAAAAGTGAAGTGTCATGCCTCCTATGTGTATAATGCAAACACTGATATTGAGAGAAGATACTTGGGGAGATGTTTGAACCATCACTTTTTATCCGATGAGCCATGGATCTTTCTTAGTGATTTCAATATTCTTCTCCATGTTAATAAGTCTTTTGGTGGTACTCTGAGATAGATTGCATACATTGAGGAGTTCAAAACTTGCTTGAGAAGGAATGAGCTTTAAGACGTGAGATTTTTTGATGTGTTTCCATACTTGGACTAACAAGAGCTATGGTTGTGCTAACATTTCAAGGAAGCTTGATAGAGTTTAATTAACCATGCATGAATGACTTTGTTTCCACAAGCCAAATGCAGCTTCCTACCTCATGGCATCTCTGATCATTCTCCAATGGTGGTTAATTTAGACTTAATTAACCTTATCAAGAGGAACATTCCCTTCAGAATTTTCAATTTTTGGGCTCTTAATAACAATTCCCTTTCCATTGTCTCACGAACCTGGCAAATGGAGATTTAGGGATCAAAGATGTTTAGGGTGTTCATAAGTTTAGGGCCCTCATATTTCAACTCAAATAACTCAACGGGAATGAGTAATACAATGATATTTCTATTAGGGTGGTTACTTGTAAGGATGTGTTATCTATTTGTCAACTTGGTCTTGACCAAAATCCATTGGATAGCCATTTAAGGCGCATTGAGAATGAGCTTGTAATTAAATTCTTTAAGTTATGCATTACTGAGGAACTATTTTACAAATAAAAGACACAGATTCAATGGCTTAAAGAAGGTGATCAGAATACTATGTTCTTCTTAAGAAGTTTTTCAACTAAGGCTAATAGAAGGGATGTGGAGTCCATTATGAATAATGATGATAGGGTCATGGTACTGTGCTTCAAATAGAGCTTCTCAACCACTTCAAGTCACTGCTTGGACAAAGTTACTCTAATTACTTAGGTGTGAATTCTTTCTTTGACTTTATCACTAAGTACATTCATTCACACTTACTGCCTTCAATCTTCGCCATCCCTACAGACTTGGAGATTGAAAGTTGAATCCTCTCATTCTATCATTTCAAAAGCCCTGGTTCTGATGGTTTTAACTTTTTTTGTTCAAGCATTTATATAGCTTATCATTAGTCATGATGTCAATGCATCTATAAAGGACTTCTACATTTCAGGGAGGATGTTAACAAAAATTAATTGCTCATATATAACCTTGGTACCTAAAATTCCTAATCCTATTACTATCCATGACTTTAGGCCATTTTCATGTTGTAATTTAATGTATAAATGCATCTCTAAACTGCTTGCATTAAGGCTTAGCTCCACACTTCCTTTCCTTATCAGTCTTACCCAAAATGCTTTTGTTGATGGTAGGTAAATTATAGAAAAAATACTAATGGCCTATGAGCCTTTTAATGGTTGCCATAAGTCATCTCATCCTCCCACTGTGCTCTTAAAGATGACTTAAAGAAGGCATTTGATGCATTGCCTTGATAATTTAAAATTTACTCACTCTACTTATTGGGATTTTCTTTATGTTTTGTCCACTGGATTGCCTAATGTATCATTATTACTTATTATTCCATTTATCTTAATATAGAATTATTTATTTTCAAAGGCAAGAAAGGCATAAGTTAAGATAACCCTATCTCTCAATCCCTTGTTCTCTGTCATTGCAATAGAAATGTTTAAACTTACTATCAACAATTATATTGCTCAAAATTCACGCTTAAAGTATCACTAGAGGTGTAATAAACTTTCTATTTCCTACTTAACATTTGTAGATGATATCATATTATCGTCTTAGGGGAATCTATGCTCAGTTCAGACTTTTTCAGTGCCTTGAATCACTTCTTCACAGTCTTAGGGTTAATTAACAATAATGCTAAAAGTATTGCTTTGTTCACTGGGGTCAATAGTCACACTAAAGCTGCTGTTCTTGCACTCCTTTAATTTAAATGTTTACCTTGCTAGTAACACACCTTAGTTTACCTCTATCCTCTAGAGCCATAAATGTTAAGGATTGCCAATCTCTAGTATTGAAAATCACAGCTAGAATTTGTAAGTGGACATCTAAATTCTTGTCTTTTAGCAGATAGAATTATGTTTATCAAATCCATCCCTTGTTCTATTCACTCATATTGGTCTCAAAGCTTTGTTTTGCCCAATAAGATACTTAATCAGGTAAATCAAAATTTGAGATGTTTCTTATGGTCTGGTGTTGAAATGAAGAAAACTGGTGCAAAAATTGCATGGAACTTAGTTTGCAGGTCCACAACTCATGGTGGTTTTCATTTTCCTAATCTTGAATTATCAAACCCCATTGGTAACCCCAAGCACATTTGGAATCTCTTTGTAAGGAGAAATGATAATTTGTGGGTAGTTTGGGTTCACATGTATCTTATTAAAGCTAGAAGTTTTTGGACTATCAAAGCTTCTTCTTTTAGCTTAAGGTTTTGGAGAAGGTTGCTTAGATTAAGGGGTATAGCTAGAGGACTAATTAAACATAGAGTGGGAGTTAGCACTAATACACGAATGTGGTTGGATTTTTGGTTGCCAAATAGACCTTTTATCACTCGGGCTAACCTTATTGATATGAAAATTCTTCAACTAGACATATTTGTTAAGGTTAATTGATAGCCTAATTTCCAAGAATCAATGGGTTATTCTTTTCTTTACCCAACTTATTCCTTTCTTCCAAAGTTAATACTTCATCACTCAACTCCAATCTCTATGTGCAGCATCTTAGTATATATCATGATACCTTTACCCAGATTTTATCTTCCTTAAACAATTTCTCATTATCTCATACAATTGGATACCTATCTCCACTATCTCTTATTTTTCTCTGGCATAACCTCATTTGGTTTAGGCACCACATTCCTAAACATGGTTTCATCTCCTTTCTTGCTCTGAGAGAAAGATTTAGAACCCTTGATAATAAACCAATGTTATATAAGCATTATACTAATGTTTGTTGCCTTTACGTATCCAATGATGAATCTTTAGATCACCTTTTCTTCAAATGAAAATTTTTTACTAAGATTTGATGTTTCATTCTGTTGGGGCACAACGGAAGCTTCTGATACCAATTTGTTGGGCAGCAACGAAAATCTTTGACACCAATCTATTGTGCAGAAGTGACCCAAACAAATATACACATAACGATGACAAATCCTAATAATAGAAAGATATGAATAAAGATGAAAAGAAACACACCATAAGATAAGATTTATACATGGTTCACCTTCAAAAATAGGGATACGTCTACAGGTGATCATGATATGTATCACTATATAGAAGAAGATTACAAATTGAAGGACGTTTTGGTTCTTCCAGACAATAATCCCTCTTCTCACAATCAAACGTCACCCACTAAAGGAAGAAAAGCTCACCGAACGTTCTTAAGAAAAATTCCCAATAATTGTATGGTTTACATAAAGAAGAAAACCCATCTAAAGATAAATTTCAAATATCTCTCTTAAAGACTATACACACAAAAGGATTTCTTCACACAAAAAACCAATACAGCTTATTCTGACTCTACCCTTTCTTGATCAAACTATCTTTCTGGGATCTCTAAAGGATCTCATCGGGATCTCTATCTTTTACTACATGTTATGTCTAATTTATAGGCCAACGTTGCCGCCTTTGGATACCTTATTTGTCGCTGGCACAAAATAATTCATTCCTTATCAATTACTTTCCTTAAAGTTTGCTTATTACCTTATCAAAGCTTAACTTGCACATTAAGCTATCCACACGGCCATCCAATTGACCACCACAATTGTATCATTCAACCAATGAAATTCTGCCAAAATCCCAACAATATCCACCTTGGCAAAATTTTTCCACCTTGACACAAATGATAAGGCACCACCATAAAAAGACTTTCTCCACTAGAATGTGAGTGATAAAAAAATGGCATCATCATCGCAATCGAAAAACCAAATTGATGAAGAATTTTAGTTAAGTTTGAGTTATACTCAAACCTAACCCTCGGGATCTCCTTCTTTAACCCAAACTGATAAGCGCCGAATATTGTATATTCAAGCGCCCTAAATTACATTAACAAAGTCCAGTTATTAATTATTTTATGTAGATTAACTCCATTTGCATGTTTTTATGCATTTTCAGGTTAAAGTGCAAAAAGGAAGCAAAAATGATGCCTTGTGGAATTTTGAACAAAAAGGATGCCATTTCTGAATTTCTGGCAGCAGTGATCCTGACTTTTGTCGCCATTTTCGACCTAGCAAACTCAAGAACTAGACTTCCATCATAACATGAAAGATTTAGATCTCTGAATCAGATTTCCAAATCTTTAAGTGGTTCATCATTCGGAGTTCGGAGCAGAGAGTTATGATCTTCGTAAAAGAGGTGCGCAGAACTGCCTGGCAGCACTGAAGTACTGCCTTTCTCCCCATTTTTTACCAACCAGACTTGAGAATTGGGTCTTCATCAAAACATGAAGTTTTTAAAGCACTGAATC